GCGTCGCCTAAAAGCATGTCAGTGTTGTCCTTAAAGAATACGGGATTGTCCACGGCAGCGTAGCCAACACCGAGGGATCGTTTAACCATGATGACCTAAAAGAAAATTAAAAAAGCACGAAGTTCAGACAGAGAGTCAGACTGTTGACAAATTAGCACCACACAAGGCTGGAGCTGCGGGAAAAACTTTAAGGCAAACTGAAGGTGTCTGAGGCATAATAGCAGGGCACTCCACTCAATCAATAAACGCACTTATTATGCTACTCATAATAAGCGAGTGGTCATATTTTATTACTATTTAGACGCTACCAGACAAAGAGGAGACTTGAGGAAGTAGCATCGCACATAGCCGGAGCTGCGGGCAAAACATTAAGGCAAACTGAACTGACCTTTTTCGATAGCCACACACGCAAGACGGGCATACCGGCCAGGACAGAGTTCGGATCTTCCTCTGCTGCGGAGTTAACGGTGTCGTTGGCACCGATAACTAGCACGAGGTCCGCCTTCGGGAAGTCCGGATTGATCTCGTCCATCTCCAGGACAATGTCGTAGGGGACCCCAGCCTCAGCAAGCAGGACATTTAGCTGGCCGGGCATGCGACCTATACGGAGAAGCATTAAAAGTAAAGGGAACGTTTCTGTGTCTTTTTTTCGGTTATTATAATTGCGTGAGAAGACAGACAGGAAAGAAATGGAGCACATAATTCAACCTAATTATCAGAGTTGCGGTGAGGCCTTTCAGCTGGGTAGCGATTAATCGGCCGGTATGCGACCAACTGTTTTGTGCGCGCAGTAGACTGGATACCAAAGTTAGTGCGGTAGGTCCCGCATTGATCCTCTAATCCGACTAAACCGATGAACGTAATTATTAGATGGCTTCGAAGATCCCCAGTAGTTCTTTTTGCTCAGTTCCACTCCATGGCTCGTATCAATTGGCATCGCCAATAAGTCAGGGACAAGAGTAATGCTTACATATGTGATTGTATTACTTGAAAGCAGTGAGTAGGCATGTATGTTGACTTTATGAACCAACCGGCGTCTGCTGGATTTTTGTCTGTAATTACGTAAACGACCCCTTTCAAAATGTTCTGCTGTACCAGCCCAAGTCTTAGATGGTATCGAAGATCCCCGGTAGCAGTCCAGGGTACAGGCACCTGGAGCATAACAGCCGTGCACTCCACTCAATGAATAGAGCTAACGGAGTCCGCAGTTCGACCTCAGGCGTTCCTGGCATGTGTTGACGGATAACGCAAAAAACCGAGATTGTCCTTACTGCCTCTGTCCATAAGACCGATAGCAAACTATATCGTTCCAGCAGCAGCAGCAGAAGTGTGGTGACTCACCCCGTGGGGACGCTCACGCTGGAACACGCACAGAAGCTAACGGTCCGGCCAATCACCTTTCAAGGCCGACTCACACAAAGACCACTCTAATCTTTTGTGACAATACCCGCACTGGATTCACTCCGGACCCGACACCCCAGCAGCTGGACTGCACTAGTCAGCTTACTCCTGCCTATTCTCCACTGCCTTCTGCACAGAATAAACTGTACGGGACATTCTGACCTCCCATGACTTGTCTTCTTCTAAGGAACCGGGTCTGAAGATCACAGTTGCTAGGGTTCAACTTAATTAACCCTCTGCGATAGAAGCATAAACCTGTATGAGATTTTGCTAAACTGAGAGAGGCGGTCAATCAGTGATGAGGAGAACAGGCAACAAAACCCTGAACACTACTGAAAGAAAGGCGAGCACTGAAAGAGTTGGAGACGATTGCAAAAATTGCCTCGAAACAAACCTGCAACAGGATGAATAGCAAAGCGGACACGTTTGCCCTGTTTGCCCAGAATTTTAACTAGTTCTGCCAGCGGGTACTGTGCCTTGGCCACACAAAGCCCATAACCTGGCACTATAATAATATCCTTCGCCTCTGTCAGCAGGTCAGC